TATGTTGTCGGTCTGATCTGGCGTGACGTCCGAGTATCCACTTTGTTTGATTTCGTATTCCATTTCAAGTTGATAATTAGATGATATCGTAACTTGTTGTTCTTTATTTGATTTCCTATTTTGAGCTTAAGATGTAGCTTTATGAAAGCATGCTTCATGCGTTGTATTGGAAGTTCCATTGTTGGTTAAATTGCATCGATATCATAATTTGTGTTTTGACATTCAAATGTAGTTTAGGAATGACCTTATAGATTCATTTTGAATATAGACGTTAGGTGGCATGACCCACACTTGTTGTTTTCGTATTTTGGATTTCAAGTTGAAGACTTTAAGAATCTATATCATGTTGCCTTGTATAACATGTTTCCATGTTGTTTGAATTGTATGAACAATGTAATTATGATATAAATGATTTATGTAGCTTAGGATGCTCCCTGAGTCTCATCTTGACATAGACGTTAGGTGGCATGAGCCCCTTTAACATGTTTTACCATAAGGTGATAAAATTGTAAAATGCTAGGTCGATGCATGCTCATCTCCTACGAGTAGCTTTATGTTACTCACCCCTACAATAGTGGGGCATATTTCAGGTACAGGACTCAGGATTTGAAGATTCCATTGCTCCTTGGATGGCTTACAGTTTCTAAGTTTTTATTTTATGCAAGTGTTAGCATAAAATGCCTCTTTGTAGCCCTATTTGTTTAAACTTGTATTCGTTGATTCGTATATGTAAAGTGTACGTAAGTGCACTCTTTTCAATGTATTTAACATGTATGAGATGAGGCCGGAGGCCAATGACATGTATCTCGTTTTCTATGCACTTTTGTTTTCAAAGTTTATTATGAAAATATTAGAAAATGTTAAGTCATTGCTTCATAGTTTTTGCATCGAGTGTTGGAATTTCATATCTTTTCTGCCCGGACTCAGAATCAAACAATTCTTGAGTCTAATTTTGTTCATTTTTTCGTTGTCCTTCCAATGGTGCCCACGGTGGCACCCTTTTCAGTGAGAAATGACCATTTTGCCCTTAGTTCATCTCTTTTCGGGTTAGGCATTCTTGCTTCATTTGCTTGGCTCATTTGAGTTCCGTGGCTTCATGGAGAGTCATTTTGGGGCCTTAGGGATGACGTCCATCTCTTGAGGTCATTTGGCTTCTTTCGCTTCCCCATTTTGGGTTTGTTATTGGGTCAACTTCCGGTTCATCACTAACGTACCGGGTTCAGAAATCTGGGTCGTTACAGGCTTCCAAAATTCAAACTACACCTATTTGATTGAGACGGCATATAGATAAACCCTAAATTAATTATTACCATCAGTACTTCGGTTTCCAAAAAATATTGATAAATGGAACGCCATCTAATCAGTCATTCCATACGCGTAGGCTTTTCGTCTTTCACCTGAACACACTTCAATTCACAAACAAAACATTCCTTTGCACAAAATCTCCGTCCTCTCTAAAAGTCTTCTCTTTCAAAAGCTCCTCTGCAAATTGGTCTTTCCTTTTTTCAACCATGACTTCAAAAATCTAGAAACAAAGTGATTTGAATTTAGGAACCCCCTTTCCCAGAAACAACATCACATACACAAATAACGAAATTTGTGATTAAAATCCTAGCCCAAACTAAATTGGATACTACGACGTTAATCGATATCACAGAAAACGCTAAGGGACTTGGCCCAGCGTTTCTCGATCGATTCCCTCCTACGTTATCTTCGATTTATCCACAAGTAGAAAATCATCTCTCTTTCTCAAAACCTCTCCATTTTACAATGGAAGGGGAATGACTAGCCCTCACTATCAGAAATTGGCATCCACCAATGCTCCAATGGAATGATTGGGTGGATCGCGTATCGGTAGCAAAAGGAGACTTGTGGAAACGGATGGATATTTTTGACATCATTCAACTTAGTAAGATTCCTTTTATCTTTGACAGACCGTTGTTTTTTGTTTCTTTGCATTTATGATCACCCACAACCAATTCACTACACTTGCACTGTGGAATGATGGCCCATACATTAAAGGATATTTGTTTTCTAAACCCAACTTAGTAAGATACTTATAACGTATGTATCTTTTATCATCACTTCCTATTTGCTTCCTTTTCATTTCCTTCTAGCTCTATTTTGTATTGAGGAAACTAAGGGGAAAAGAAAAAAAAGAGTGAAAATAAACTAACATCAGGTTCTTTTGTTTAACTCCCTCAAGTAAATGTATAAGACTAATCTTAGTTGAGTTGGTGTGGCATTATTTCCTTTCCTTTCATCTGGTTTCTTATTAACCAAAGAGAGGATTAGACTGAACCCATAATTTCGCAAAAAAGTTTGATCTGTCCTTTTTTATGCGTTTAATGTCAAAGTGTCATTTAGCTACTAACAATCATTAGATATCAATAAATCTTGCAGTTTCAGTTGTTTAAAAAGCATCTAAATGAGAAGCAACAGACGTAGTTTTTTAAGTGTTACATATTCCTATAATTTTGTGAAAGATGACTTGTGTTTAATTAAGATCGTTCATTGAATGTATCCAGTTGAAACTTTAATGGTTTCAGTGTCTAAAGGGGAATCCTTCATGATGAGCGCTAAAAAGTACACTTTTAAACCCCTTAAGCTTGAGTATTCTAGGACCTTTATCTATCTTATTTACCCGTTTTAGTACTTATTTGTGTTTTTGTCTATTTCATGTCAATAATGTTAAAATGGGCTAAAAATGGTTTCTTAAGGCCTTTTTGGAGTCAAACAAGTCTTGGTGAGAATCCGGAGTAAAAGGAGGCTGATTTGGAGTAAAAAGAGGCTGATCCTGAAAAACTGCCAAGTGAGATCGATCAAAGTTGGATCGATCAAAAATCAAAGTTGGATTGATCAAACTTTTCTCTGATTGATCGAACTTTTTCTCTGATCGATCGAACTTTTGCTGGCAGCGAGCTGTCTTATTCCGTGCGCGCCCAAAAGTCCACTTATCACATAGTACGGGATTAGATATTTTTGGGGCTATATTCCTGACTTAGTGACTAAGAAAAGAACTTTCTATATAAAGGGAAGTGACCCATTTTGTAAAGAAGCTTTTTATCTTTTTATTTTTACATTGTATTTTTTATTTCTTTCTCTAGCAAAGTTGGAGATTGGGGTTAGAAGAAAAAAGGGAAGTGGAGGCATATCTCAAGATTCATCTCTAGACCACTCTCTCTCTCCATCTCTAGAGCTTAAAAGAAGAAGAGGAAGAAGAAGATGGAGCCATATTTGGAGCTTGATTCCATGACCCCATCCACCTCCTCCATGATTGGCTAGATCTACACTTAGGGCTTGGATGAGCCCTAAGTCTTGTGTAATCTAAACCCTTGTATTTCTATTTTTGGGGATTTATATATATTATTGTGATTAGTGCTCTAGCCTTGTGAATTTAATGAATCTTGGTATATTTCTATGATTTCTATGGTTTAATTCTTCCTATTAATTCTCTAATTTATTTACATGTCTATATGTGATTAAATTAGATATTATTTCTTACATGATTCATATGGATTAATTCTTCCTATTAATTCTCTATGTGATTACATGTTGTCTTATGTGTGATTATTTTGGAATTGATCTCTACACTAGTTTTTCTATATTAATTGCATGTCTATGTGTGGTTGATTGGGAATCTAGTGATGGCTAAGCATGGGTTTTCATTGAATGGGTTTGTCAATTAATTTGATGGTTTATACTTATGCTTGATGGGTTGTGCTACACTTAGTTTAGGTAGACAATTCATATATAAATTAGATGGTCTATGCTTAATATTGCAAATTCCATGATTCTCTAGATTGAAGTGTGCTAAAATTGTTGCTACTTAGATGGGTCATGCTTAAAATTGATGGGTTGTGCTACACTTAGTTTAGGTAGACAATTCATACATAAATTAGATGGTCCATGTTTAATATTGCAAATTCCATGATTCTCTAGATTGATGTGTGCTACAATTGTTGCTATATAGATGGGTCATGCTTAAAATTGATGGGTTATGCTACACTTAGTTTAGGTAGACAATTCATACATAAATTAGATGGTCCATGCTTAATATTGCAATTGGTAGTCGCATTTTGTTCACAACAATGTATTCCTATTAATGGAAAGCAAGTGGTTAATTACACAAGCTTAGTGGTGATTCTAACACCCTAAGACCTCTCTTCATATCTCTTAAATCCCTATCTCTAACTAGTTTACTTTACTTGTATTTTAATTTCATTGCACCTTATTTTAATCAAACCAATCTCTCTCTTTGTAATCTTGTGATACATTAGAGTTGAAGTTAAATTCCAACACGTATAATCCCTTGGGACGATCCCTACTCACTCTTGCTACTTTAGTAGTAGTGTTGGTAGTGGTTTTTATAAATTTAAACTTGACCCAAAAGACTTTTCTTGAACCGCACATTCACCACAACAATTTTGGCGTGTAGGAACGGCAATTATAGGCCTCCTTCCGCCGACCACTTCACCAATGACAAACCAAAGTTCTCATAGTAGTGACGTAAATGAACATATATGCATACAAGCAACTATTCCCAAGCTACATAATTTTCCATGTGTTCCATTATTTTAGATGACTAATTATCCTTACCTTTATCCCAACAGTGACACAAAAATAAAGTTCATCCTACTTTGATCACTATGACATTGAACATGCCACTCTGATATGTATGTCAGATTCTGCTGTTACTAGCTATTTAACTTACAAGTTTGGAATCAAATTCTATTAGTACAGTTAAGCCATAGTATTGAAAGAAAAAATATATCTATAATACAAGCTCTAATTCTTTGCAATAAAATAGTTGACTCTTTTAGTCTTTTGTGTATATGATTAAAATGGGAGCAAGAACTCTAAGTAGTTTACACTGCATATGTAAGTGTAACTTCCTCATCTTCTCTATGATTCAAATTGGAATGCAGGTTGTCAAAGTGAAATGGCTGCTGATCAAAACTCGAGCGAGTATATGTAAGTGATCTATCTATATCACTTATTTATGCTATAAAGGATAGTGGGCAATCTGGAGTCTGAGGAACCATATCATGGTTACTCTCCAGTATCTTTACAATCTGTTCCATAGTTAGCCTAGCATATAACTGTGGATGAGCGGACAGAACAGCAATAAGAACATAATTTTCCATTACTTCAGGCAAGCTCAACTCATGAATACCTTTCTTGATGACATCCATCACTCTACCCTCCCTTACTCGTGACCAAGCCCAATCTGTTAAAAGCTGAGCTTGACCCCCATCTGTAGACAGAACAACATTTTTCCCACTCAATAGCTCAAGAAGCACAACCCCAAAACTGAATACTAATAATTGCCTATACAAAGCGTATTCTGGGGGAATATAACCATAAACGAAAATATCTGTATAACTGTAAATTAAAAAAAAAAAATCCTGCCAAGAAATCAGCAGATCCTTTTATTTCCTACTTGATAAAATGAAAACTAAAAAGAAAACCACATCAATGACTTGGCTTAGTGTAGGTAACTCTTTCTTCCATCAGTTTAAATATGGCTGGTTGATACCTCTTCAGATATTTGCAATTGATAGGCCTTCCATTGATTTCCATTCCAGTTTGCAAGAAAAAGAATCATTTCTTAGGCACCTAAGTTCAAATGAAAAGCTTTGATTTAATTGTTTTGTATGTATTTGTTTGTGCGTGCTAAGTTATAATGTGATCCCAGTCTCTTCAATAATAACTGCATTACCATGAGTTGTTAATCCTAAATTTATTTATTTTTTTAGTTTCTGTTTTAATTTGTTGAGTGCTGAATGCAAAACTTTTGATTGGGCAGGAATTGGAGTTGAAGTTGAAGTTTCACTCATTAAAGATCTAGAAAAAGGAAATTTTGAAGATGCAGGGGTCGCACATTTTTAATTTCCATGGCCGATGTGAAAACTTCTAGTACATGTGGTTGTGTTCACTACTTCTATGAAAACTTCTTTTCGTTGTTGTTACTTCTTTTCTGAAAACTTCTTTAGCAATTTTATTTATTATGATGTAAACTCGTATTCTTTTTGGTTGCTTAAATCTATTACACATTTGGATGGTATTTTCATATTGACAATTAAAGTTTATATAAAAGTAATATTTGCTGTAAATGGTACTTATAAAAAGGTTAGAGGAAAGAAAAAAAGGCCAAAAAAAAAAAAAAAAAAAATCTGGGTAAAAAAAAAAAAAAATGGGTAATCACCAGCGTTCAGCGTTCATAAAATGAATGCTGGTGATAGACTTAATACCAGCGCTCTTTAAAGACTAAATACCAACGCTCCGTAATGAGAGCGGGTAATGACTTAATAATAGCGCTCTTTGAAAAGCGCTGGTAAAGGCCTAACGACGCTGAATCATTAGTGGTCATCGATGAACGCTAGGGAAACACTGGTAATTGAATTACCAGTATTTTTTTAGACTCTCACCAGCGTTTTTGAGTGCTGGTGAAAGGCATAACTTTTGTAGTGTATATAATAGCTATATCCTAAGAATGGTATGTCATCCATATCCTGACAATAGCATGACATAGAATCACATCCTAACAATGGTTCTCAAATAATCCAAATATATATATATATATATCATGTTTAAGATCACAAAATGTAGATATGCACTTGATTAAAATCATAACATAGCATAACAGTAGCATAATAGTAAATAACATACAATTCACATATTATTAAATCTCAGGAAGAACTTATGATTATTTTAAGTGTCCTGCAACAATTATCTCAACATAATCTGAACCCTACACATGCTGATAATTTATACTTACAGTCAATTAAGAGTTGCACAAACAAATCTCATGCTAAACATTTAATCTCAACTATTAAAACAATTTAAAAGATTAAATTCACCAATTCATAATTAAATAAATTCCAACTGCATGCATTGTTATTATCATGTCTGCTTAAATTCACATATCACCTTTCCGAAGTTCCTATACATTGTTTGCGACCTTAAATAATCAAATCAGGCCTTCAAAATAGCTATTCACCCAAATCTGCAAAAATTGTGGTCGAGCGCCCCCCCTTACAGGGCTCGAGCGCTAATCCAACAGCGCTCGAGCATTGATGCCCAGAAAATGGCGCTCGAGCACTATAACACATCAAGAACAAATATGGGTCTAACGCTATAACACGTCAGCCCTGTTCTCTATTGTTAAGGGTCTAAAGCATGTTACTAAGTCCCATAAACATCCAAATACGAATTTACATCATTATAACATGTAAAAATCTATTTAAATCAGATCTAATTCATAAAGTTTTCAAATCATATATCAAGAACAAATGTAATGACTCGGTTATTTCCTTCATTTCTTTTTTCCTCAGAATTTTACGGATGAATTTTTTTTGTTGAAATTTCTTTTCTAAGTTCGATTTCTCATCACTTAGTGTCATCACGAGTGCTCAAAAATGATTTCTAAGACTCTTTCTTTCGGATTGACAATTTCCTTAAAGGACCGCGTCAATTCCATATTTTTCGTTTTTTGACACTATTCACTTTTCGTCCTTTTCCCTATTTTGTCTTTTCCCTGTTTGTCACTTTGTTGGCATAGCCTCATTTTTTGTGCTCGGAGTTCATTTTTGACTTCATGTACCTTTATTCAAAGTGGTTTCCACGGAATACGTATCTTTACTTTTGTAAGAAAGTACTCTCGTTGCTCCCGGTGTCCATAAGGGCATGGATGCAAAGTTTTTCAGAAATATTTTTGTTTCTTAGGGTGTTTTTCATAAATACCTTTTGGAGATATTTTATTTCAGGGGTTTTTAAGAAAATATTTTTGGAATATATTTTCATTCTGGGTCATTAGTGCAGTTATCACTTTTTTGAAGGGTTATTGTGTAATTAACGAAAATTATTACAAAAATGTCTCATTTTCATTCTGGATCCTCGTACGAGATTCATTTTCACATTTCGTTGAGTCGTGTACTCTTAGAATTTTTTTGCGGTCGAACCCTACAGTTTTCGGGTTTTTGGCCCCGGTTGCCGCCGAACTTGTTTGGGGTATATCTCTCTGCTCGAGACTTAGTTTTTGACGCTGTTTCTTCCATTATTCATATTTTCTTATTTTGGTTCTTTTTTGTTCACAGAGTTTTGCCGTTTGAGTGCATCTGCTTAAATTCTACTTTTCAGGACCCGGCGGGGCCCTTTCGGGGCACTTTTAGGGTTTTTCTATAAATAGGGCGACTTAAGAAGAAAAATCAGATTTTTCTCTTCTGCTCCTTCTCTTGGCCAGCAGCCATGGAAGCCCATTGGGGCTACCACCTTCTCTTTCTTCTTTTGAGCTCCTTCCTTTTGTTAAAAAGTCGTAGTGCCTTTGTGTTTTGTGTTTGTCTTGACGACGCGCATCTTTCCCCCCTCTTAGAATCCATTTTTGGCCAATTTTTGAGTTCGGGATTGAGGCCAAGTTAGGATTTTGGTATGTCTTCCTTGGGGTTTAATGATCACTGTGTTGTCCCCGACAAAACCCCAAAATATCTTCGGATTCGGAGCGGTTTCATTTTGGTGGCTTTTGAGATTTTCATCTCAAATTAAGGTAGGGGATATCTTAGATTTATATTTGAGTTATATTGATTGTTTTATAAGCATATATAACTTGTGAGCATACTTTGGTTCAAGTTTTAGAATTTAATTTAATTATTTTCTATGTTTAAGATTAATTCAAATGGTTTTGTGTAATTTGGAATTAAATTGTGGCATGCTAGTAAATTAGGCCTTCGTTTGTTTATCAACATATATTAAATTGGAAAGCATGCATAGCTTTATGATTGAGCCAAACACCTTCCCTATGGATTGCAACAGCTTTTTCTGCTGCAGTAGATGCGTCAGTCAGCTGATGAGAGCCATCAGTCGGCTGACAAGCCTCGAGACCCAATTCCAGAGAGTTTGCAAGTGAAACAGGCCGTTTCGACCGATTGGTACTTTTCATCAGTCGACTAATGATGGGGTTTCGGCCGGCTGGTACTGTTCATCAGCCTACTGATCCTCCTTGAAGCTTGGCTTTTTTTCATTTTCTTGGACAGCTTTCTTGAGTCAACTTTAGAGGGTCATTTCTCCTTCATTTCTGATCCAAATCAAGTCATTCTTAAGCCTAACTTCAAGATCTTGAAGTTAGCTTTCCAATGGTATAAACTGCACATAAAAACTCCAACCATAGTGAGAGTTATGACTATTTTGATGAGATAGGGTTGTGGTATCTTTTAATCGAAGGATGCCTCTTTGTTTTATTTTGATATCTTTTCCATCCGGACTCCGAATCAAGCGATTCTTAAGTCTAAATTCATTAATTTTTTGTTATCTTTCCAATGGTGTACACGGTAGCACTCGTTTTGGGGTAAAATGACCATTTTACCCTGGGTCCATTTCTTTTAGGGTTTTGGAACCCTCATTTCCTTCTTACTTCCGTTGAGCCTCGGGACTCCTCAAAAAGCCACTTTTGTGTCTTAGGGATGATGTATATATCTAGAGGCCATGTTTCATTTTAGCTTCTGCATTTTGGATCCATTTCGAGTCATTACAAGACACACTGGGTTTGTAAAATCCAGGGTCGTCACAGGTGGTATCAGAGCTCCTAGGTTTGAAAACCTTAGGACGACGGGTTTTGGATGCATATCATGTTTGTGTTTCCATGCTCTATGTGTTTAGTTACTTCTTGATAACATGTTTACGTGCTTATATGGACGTATGTTTAGGAGTTTACTTTATGTAACGACCCTGGATTTTTTAACCCAGTGCGTCTTGTGATGACCTAAACTGGATCCAAGATGCAGAAGCTAGAAACAATACAATGGTCTCTCAAGGTACAACACACCTCTAAGACCCTAAGATGACCTTCCATGAGGTCACGGAACCTAAGGGATAAGTGCGGAAGCAGGAGATCGGAAAGATAACAATTAAGCCCCCAAGGGCAAAATAGTTATATCTGAGAATATAGATTCAGGGGCCACCGAGCACACCTCTGGAAAGACAACAAAAAACTAATCAAGATGGACTCAAGAATCGCATGATTCGGAGTCCGGACGAAGAAGAAATGACAAGACGAAGAAAAACGAGCACTTAAGGCTAAAAGGGTAAAATGGTAATTCCAAATTGAAATGAGTACTCCTGTGTACAACATTGGATAGATAACAAAAAAATAACAAAGATGGACTCAAGAATCGCATGATTCAGAATCCGGATGGCAAAGATATCAAGTCCTAAAGTCGAAGGAAGGGAAACCTTATCCCGGTTCGAACTAAATTCTGACACTACCTTACTAAAACATGAATATCTTGAGCTACAAGTGGAATATGAAGCTCTAATTGGTACCATTGGAAAGCTTGTTTTGACGTGGTCAGTTTAGACTCAAGAACAGACCTATTCAAAGTTAAAACAAAAGAGATACGATGACCCAAAGTTGGAGGTACAAAGTCCAAAAGCAAGGCGGGCACCCGCCCAAAACCCGCGGGCGCCTGCCCAAATGGGTAGAACCATAGGAAATGTGCCGGGCCCCGCCAGTCCCTCTCGGGCCCCCACCAGGTTCCCCCTCGGGCCTTGTTTAGCAGTGCGCTGGATGAGTTCTAAGGCTACGGATGCTTCCTACTTGACCCGGACAAGTTTCAAAACATTCCCTAACCTCATTCAAGCGTCCAGAGCATGCTAAAACAAGGGGAACTCAAAATGACACCCCATGCATGAATTTTCAATATTTTCATAGTATTACATGAAGTTAAAATTTACATTGGATGCAATATAATTGCCATTGGCCTCCGCCCTCATCTCATACTTGTCAAATACAGTACAAAAGGTATACTTATGTACACATTACATATATGAAATCAAATATACACATTTTGATAAAAAGACTACAAGTGGCATTTCAAGCCAACCTTTACAAGAGTCATGAACAAGAATACACTTAAGGAACTTCAATTCATCGCAACAATCCTGGGATATTGTGCATCCTGCACCAAGGCATCCGTACCTGACAAAATCCCCAGTAACTTCGGGGTGAGTAAACAAGTTTACTCGTAGAGAATGAGCATGCATAGACTTGATATTCTTATAAATTTTTAGACTAACATGAAACGATTCAAAAGGATCATGCCACCTAACGTCTATGTCAAAGGTGAGACTCAGGGATCATCCTAAGCTACTCATGCAATTGAAAGGAGATACATGACATACACGCATACCGGTTACAAGTGTATTAAACGAAGATGAAAAAATGCGAGATAAGTATACAAAACACAAGTCTAGTAAACGGAATCAGAAACACACAAGGCAAGTATACAAGATACGAGTATACTAAATGGAGTTCTAGATATAAGAAGCAAGTGCACGGTTTCAAGTGTGTCAAATAAGATCTAAATACATGAAGCAGGCATAATGTCTATGCAATTAAAGCAAGGTAGGAAATACTCCATACAATCACGACAAGGTTTTTAGATCTTCAAGAGATAACACTTGAAATCTAAGGGTTCAAAGATTATGCTTGATAGTATAAACTATTACATGTAGTCCATGCCACCTAAAATCTAAGTCAAGATGCTTATATAGGATCATTCCTAAGTCATATTAACATGAAACAATATGAGTCATGATGTTTATGAAATTGAACAAGGTTGGGATAATCTAAAGAACACGACAAGTTTGTAAATTAACATGAATCACATTATTAATGCAATTAACATGATTGGAACATTCCAGTTAACACGACAAGAAGAATATATGAAGTCCAGGATAATGCATAATATCTATGCAATTAGACAAGGTAGGAACAATTCATATAACACGAAAAGAATTACACGTGAAATCAAGAAAAAGGCATAATATCTATGCAAGCGAACAAGATTGGAACATTCCAATTAATACGATAAGAGTTATACATGAAATCAAGAGTAAGGCATAATGTTTACGCAAGTAAACAAGATTGGAGCATTCTAATTAACATGATAAGGTCATACATGAAATCAAGAATAAGGCATAATATCTATGCAATTAAACAAGGATGGAACATACCATGAAACACGAAAAGAGTCATAGATCTTCAAAGAATAGCATTTGAAATCTAAGGAGCGAAATCATGAATGAAGCATAAAATCTATGCAATGAAACAAGATTGGAGCATTTCACATACACGACAGGGTTTAAATCTTCAAGGAATAGCAACTTGAAATTTAAAGAGTGAAATCAACCAATGTGGAAACTCGGATATCGCCCGGATTAGAACCGTACTCTTGGGATCACTTTAGGGCTATTAACCTATGGGTACCTTCCCCTAGTGCGCACAATAGTGTAGGGAGCTCTCTATCTCCCGTACTAGAACCAAGTCCTAGCCATGTCAATTCTTAATTGATATCCCAAGTTCCAAAATCAACAAGTTGTGTAACCAAGGGTGTATCAAGATACAAGTAATGCATTAAACCACATTCCATGCACAACCAAGATTTTGGAACACACAAGTCATGCCCTAGATTCTCAACTATGATGGCATGTGAAATGTCAAGAAATCATGGTATGCATCTACATAGACTATAACCAAGATATATATATATATATATAGCACATGGAATCCATTGATGTAAGTATACAACTAGTATAAGATTAATGATTCAATCATTTGTTTAACAACACTTAAACAATTAAATCATTCCAATGCAAAGGTGCAAGTTCATTAATTACATTAATGAAGTTAAGTTGCAAAAAGTCATGATACATGTTAAATAGGCAAAAGCCCCATGAAATAGATGTCCAAATCATTAGAACACTAAGTAGAAATTAATTAACCTAATTAATTAATTTCTCTAGAAATCAAAGTTGTCCAAAAATTCTCAAAATAATATATATGATTGCTCATTCCATGGTGATCGCGAATATCACATCAATTTCACAAAGTGAGCAAGATAAAATCATGTGGAATTTAATTAATCTACATTAATTAAATCTCTAGATTTCAAAAGTTGTTCAAATGATCTCAATTTAATATATAGGAAGGATTAAGTCATGGTCATGCCATATATCATGTCAAAAATGGAAAACAAGCAAAACACAATTTACTAGAATTTAAATTAAATTAAATTAATTTAATCTCTAGATTTGACAACTCATTCAAATGGCTCCAAAAAAATTATTAAGTGAAGGCCATGCCATATATTAAGTCAAAAGTGAGTTATATGCAAGTTACAACAATCATTAATTTCTCAAATTTAACAAAAGACATGCATATAACTTGTATTTCATACAAGGGCAATTAAAAACACTTGGAAAATAAACTATAACACCCCCTACCTCACAAGAGAAGAGTCTTTCTAGAATCCAAGGCAAACAAGGTTAAAATGGCAAACCCTTCAAGGGTTATGAAGAGGAGGATGAGGGGAACAAAAAGTATTCCCAAGTTCAAGCTTGGAAATCAATGGAAGGCCCCTAAAAATCAAGATCAAGGCCTAAGGCTTCAAGCTCCATCCATGGAAGCTAGGGTTCTAATGAGGAAGAAAATGACATAATGTGAAAATGTGTAAGTGGAGAAAATAGAAATCTTCCACTCACTATGTGATCCTACACCATGGTCAACACATACACTACACTTGTCACTAATCAATGGCTCCTTCCTAGGCTTAATATCAAGCCTATACTTGTCAACCATCTAAGCCAACAAGTGCACCAATCCTAGGCCAACAAGTGATTTAATCTCCACCCTCCACATTTCATGATCCAAGGCAACAAAGTGTTCCCACACAAATGTCAACAAGTGGACCAATGAGAGTGTGACACTTGTCACACTTTTCAAAAATTACAAAAAGGTCTTTTTTAAAAATATCTTCCAAATTAAATTACAAAATGGTCCCTAAGACGAAAAATAATTACTTTCAGTAATTACATAAGTGACCCTAAAAGAAAGAAGAATTCCAAGGAAAGTGTGCATCCACACCCCTAAGGAAGAAAAGTGCA